ATAATATTAAGTTAAGTGTTGCAGAGATGAGGATGCTCAGGTGGATGAGTGGCTTTACTCTTAGACACAGGATACAAAACGAGTATATACATGAAAAGGTTGGAGTAGCTCCAGTGGAAGATAAGATTAGAGAGACTCGCCTTAGATGGTTTAGTAACATAAAACGGCGGCCTTGCGATGACCCAGTTAGGAGAGTAGATGTATTAAATTTGGATTATGTTAAGAAAGGTAAAGATAGACCTAAAAAGACTTCGTTAGAAAATATTAGAAATGATCTTTCTTTATTAGATTTAAATGAGAATTTGACTCTTAACAGATACAATGAAGAAAAAGAATTCACGTAGCCGACCCCATGTATTGGGATAAAGGCTTGATGATGTTGTTGTTGTATAGATGTCAGCCTTAGAGTCTAAGAGTTTTCATTTGAGCAGATCTAAAACCAAATACATGGAGTATAATTGTAGTAGTAATAAATCTAGTAGTGGGATTGTGATCTTGGGTGATCAAGTCATTAAAAAAGAGTGCACGTTTTAGATATTTGAGGTCTATTGTTCAAAGCGATGGTGCAATAGATGGCACTATTACTAGTAGAATTCAAGTTGGATAGTTGAAGTGGAGGAATGCTTCGAGCCTATTGTGTGATAGAAACGTAGCCTTCAAACTTAAGGAAATTTTTTATATGATGGTGGTGAGACTTGCAATACTTTATGGCACAGAATGTTGGCCATTAAAACAGAAGCATGAAATTAAGTTAAGTGTTGTAGAGATGAGGATGCTCAGGTAGATGAGTGGCTTTACACTTAGAGATAGAATACAAAACAAGTATATACGTGAAAATGTTAGAGTAGCACCAGTGGAAAATAAGATTAGAGAGAGTATCCTTAGATGTTTTGGTGACATAAAATGTCTTCCTTCCGATGACCTTTTTAGGAGAGTAGATGTATTAGATTTAATCTATGTTAAGATAAGTAGAGGTAAACCTAAAATGACTTGCATAAAAAGTATTAGAGATGACTCTTTTTTATCAGATTTAAATGATAATTTGACTCTTAATAGAATAAAATGGAGAAAAATGATTCATATAACCGACCCCACGTAGTGGGATAAAGGTTTGTCATCATTATTTTTGTATATAAAATTGAATATATCTTATGTTGAGAGTTTCTCACCTCATACATGATCCAAGGGAAGTTCACCCACAAGTTATTTATTGAATTCTTCACTACTTAATTTACAGCGATGGCAAAAGAGATATGTGCGTTATTGTAATTGAATTTCTCTTTAGGGATCTGATGAATGAATAAGAGAGCCTATGAGACTACATTATGATAATAAGTTAGCCATAAAAATGAGAGATGCAAAAATAATATTTAATTACAAGAATTGAAGAAGAAAAATTCAGAGCAATGGAAAAAATGATATGTGAGTTATCGCAACCAAATTTCTCTTTTAATGTTATGAAGAACGAGCGGGAGAGCCTATTAGACTCCATTATGATAATAAGTTAGCTAAAAAATTTGCACACAATCATATGCGACGTGATAGAACTAAGCATTTAAAGATAGATATTTTATAAAAGAAAAATTAGATAGTGAATTAATTTATACACAATATGTGTCTACAAATAATCAACAGGAAAGATATCTATTCACCAACTTGAGAGGGAGTGTTGGAAGGTGTGCTTGTTATCTAACATTGAACTAATCTTCTATGGAAAAAACTAATTGTTGTAGGTATTGGGATTGAATGAAAATAATCCAACAATATCCATTATGAGAGTGGCTCTTGTAACAACTCAAATTAATTATTGGTTTCAAAAAATTTTTATCAGAGAAATCCCTCATTCAAAGGGATTTTTCAGTTATATAATTCCTTTCTTGTATATATTTACTTTATTTTCTGTATGTAGAACTTGTATATGACCACATGTTGATTTTGATTAGAATCAAGTGAGACCATTATAATTCTCTCATATTTTCTCACATCTTGTATTCATTTTGGCGCTCCATTTCAACAAATTGGCATCAAAGCATAGTTCAAAGATTAATAGCAATGATATTTAAGATCAAGATGGTTAATGAGTTAAAGATTTTTGTCCTTTAAGGAACTAAGGTGTGTGGTCTTCAAATGAAAGAAAGACTTAATTGTGAATGCACTCATTCTGCGTTTGAATATTCCATTGATAACGAGAGAATACAAGGAAGAGATTGACGAAAAAGCTATTTCAATGATCCAATTATATTATAGGCAAGATGTATTAACAAGAGACTTGTAGGAAATAATTGAGCAAGGGTTGTGGCTTAAGCCAGGGTCCTTATAATTGATAAAAACCGGTCTGATAAATTCTATCAAAAATAAAAGCATCATTTTTTTGCATTGTAGGAAGGTATGCCTCTTAAGGCATGCTCAAATCAGTTTAATTCTATTTTTCATGGCTAGTGGAACATTGATGCGACTGTTGATAAGGACGATTAACTTTATTATTGTAATGCTCTTCATCTCCAACTTATAACATTTTTGTAAAATCATGCAGTATTGGAGAGATATAATTAGCTTAGTAGATAGTAAATATATATATATATATATATATATATATATAATCATTAAGCATGAGTTAATTAATGAGGACAAGTCAGCTGAGGGATTGTTCTTTAGAGTGAGACCATTAGAAAGGGGGTCCATGTCTGGGAGCAAGTCTGCTGACAAGGAAAAAAACTTGTTTCTCCTGGAAGAAGTAATGACACATCAAGAAAGATTAACAAAGATCGAAGGGAAAGGAGCAACAGTCAAGTGTTAATCATCAAGCAAATAGGTCAAAAGATGTGACTATGGCAAAAAATTGGTCAATTTTAAATTATGGTGAATTTGTTTTGTGACTGACATGTTTTTAAATGTCATGATTATTGCATTCACAATTCAATATGTTTATATTATATATGTCCTAGCATGGAATTGTTTTCTAATTAAGAATCTCATGATGGTTGTGTGCATAAAAAAACAACAATGTGTGCAAAACTGTTGGGTCTTACCGCCATATGTTTGAGGGCATGATGGTGTAAATAGTTTTCTTCCATTGGAGCTAGACATGCACCTAATCTAATGATGAATCCTACATCTTTGAGAGCTGTGAGTGATGAAAGTACAAATATTCTAGCAATGGTCATATTGCAAAGGTATTTAGGCTATCATTGAAGTCGGGAGGGTAAAAGGAATGTGTTGTACGGTGTAGCTCTAAGAGCTGCTTCAGTTATGTCTTTACATATGTTGGATCATAACATTTTGGTAAAGCAGAAATAAGAATGCTTTCCAGCTGCCTGTAAATTTCTGGAACAAAATCAAGCATAAGATAATAGGAAGATTTTATATGATCAAATAATCACTTCAAGAGTAGTTTGACACAGTGTTAGTTGATACCATTGCAACATTCAAGTTTAGAAGACAATCACTTCACGGGCACAAAAACCTATGACATGAGCACTTTCAAGATCAATAGATTCACTTCAACATGCACAATTTGTACGTCAGGGTTCCCTCACAGGTATTCAATTTAGGCATCATTTGGGCCTAATGAGATTGCGTGACGATAAGCCCTTCAAGTTAAAGGACATTGAGTACTCAGCTTGGAAAAAAAAACATAAATGAGATTCAAAATTTTCCACAATATTAAGATAAGGAGAGCATTGTTAATTTTACTCAATTTTGTTTTATTTTTGGCATATTGCGCATAGCAACAGATTTATATTGGATAGCATAGGATTTATAATTCCAATGGTGTTTTTTTATTTCATCTAGATCAAATTAGACGATCATATCAATTCAATAAGTACAATCAATATTAAAGGCCCTTGGTATTCACTTGTCATAGGATTGCTTGATAGACGCCACACAATATCAAGATTGGAGATCCCATCTCAAAATTGATAACTTCGGATGTCATTGCTTTGGAACCGCAACATAATTCTCAAAATTGTTGTCATGACTCTTTTTGCATGCATATTGCCTTCCCATGATGTGTACCTAGGGCTAGCAGCTATAAGGAGAATCTTTCAGCTAGAGTTTTCAAGGAATGACATAGATCTCTCTTCAAATCCTCAAGTGATATAACTGCATGGCTTAAAGGATTTCATTAAGGATTGATGAGTTCTACGATACATGTAAGAAAAACATCTTTTTATAAAGTAATCTCTCTTGTGAGAGATTATTGGGATTCTTATTTGTTTTGAGTATAAGTGTACTTAAAATTTGGGAAGGTTTGATAAGAGTTCTTTCATCATGGACATCATTGTTTTGTGTCTTCAGTGATGGTGATTTTATTTTCTTTCATCTATCATGGACATAGACTTGGCTAAAGTTGAACTATATAAATCTTAGTATTCTATCTTATTTATTCTGTTCCACTGACATTTATTTTGTCACACATCATACTCGATCTTGGTGACAATTGCATTAGTAATGGATCTCTTGTTTCAACAAATCCTAACACAATTTTCTAGTTAAAGCACACTTCACGTTAAATTGTCCCCCACTGACCAAGCTCCTGGATTGTAACTGCACAAGCATCATGCAGTTTAGCCATTTGGTTTTGCAAATGCAAAAGATGATCTTAATGATCCTTATAACAGCTTAATATTCTCAAAAAGAAAATATTAACTTGACTCACTTCTACCCATCGTATCTTACTCAAGCGGTATTCAAAAATAAGGCTTTCTAAGCATTTAGATTTACATATTGCTCAATAATGTTCAGGAACATCGACCAAGCCATTCCTGTCTTCACAGATAATCCAAATAAATTACTTCTTCCTTTTCTTCTCAGGACTTGGATCTAGATAAATAACAAATAAGAAAATCCCAAAATTTCACTGTGCAGCAAGCAACCAGGAATTAAAAGAAAAAAGATAAAAACAAAATAATCCATGAACATCACCAGTAAAGATTTCATGCAAAGTATTACAGTTAAAAGACAACAAGACTATTGAGAAAGGATAAGTGGTTGATTACAAAAGTAGTGCGTCGAGGAAGCGCTCATGCTCCTCATCCGACCACCTATCTCTGGACTTGGTAATGGTATAGGGCTTCCGCAGCTTCTTGATCGTTCCATCTGCGTCCATAGATAAGAGGTGTGGTGAGATCCAAGTCAAGAAGAAAACAGAAGCATATCATCTGCTTGGAACAAAAGTAAAGGTGAAACGGAGAACAAGAATGGAAAGGAGGGAGAAGATAGGGTTAGGGCTTCGATGGGTAAAGCAATAACTCATTAATACCTCTAAAATTACTCCAGAATATTCAGAGTTAGGCAGAGAGGAAGAATGTATGGAGCGAGAGAGAGTGACGGATCAAACCTTGGATTAGTACGGTAAATGAAGCGTGGCCGCTTGAATTTGGGGGAAGAAGTTCGGCAGAGCCACGCCGGGTGCCGGCCAAAGAGAGTGCAATCCAGTTGAATCAGAAGGGCCGCGCGAGGCAAATTGAAGTTCGGTTTTTTCATTTGTACCCGGGAAGTTGTCCTCTCATATTTATGCAATTTTATTTTTACAATAGGATTAGTTTATAAATATGTATTTCTTATGGGAGTTTTCCGTGGGATTTTGGGAATAACCTTAAAGGGAAATGGGTTCCGCTTTAGGGCGAGGGAACCCGGAAGGCTAACGCCTAACTAGCCGTTAAGAGTCACAGTTTTGAAACGACTGGATGTGAACGCGCGCGTTCGGCATTAGTGTCTTGCTTGTTGCTAAAACGGCCCACCATTGTTTCAATGCTTTAATTGGTTAGTTATGGTGTTTTGTTTGGACTTTGACTTTGTAATAGAGCATGAGATGTGAAATGAAGAAAAAATATCGAAGGTGAGACAAAAAGGAATTTTTTGTTGAATGGGTTGTTTGCAAATTTATTGAGTTTTATAAATAGAAGCATAAAATGAGAAAGAGAGATTAATAGGATTAATAAGGTGAATTAACTAGAACAATAGATTGTTAGGATGAGGGAGTAGCATCGGTTTGAGCTGAACTCAACGAAGGCTGAGGCACTGTTGGCTGTGGAGGTCAAGGATCAAGCTGAAGTGATTGTTATCGATCATGCTACAATTGTCAAGGCAAAAACTCAGGCTAAGGTGACCATTAGAAATTTGATGAGAAGGTTAGACGAAGCCCTCCACATTGTGCAAGGCAAAGACTTTGAGTGGATGCTAGGTGATCGTTACTTTGTCAAGATCACTATTTATGTCCAGAAGTTGGCGACAAAAGGTGAGCTTCCTCCTAGGTTCAAATATCCTTCATGTTACTTTAGGGAATTTTGTGAGAGTGATAGTGAGGAAGGTAGTGAGGGCACAAATGTGACTGACAAATGAGTAGCATCAACCTTAACGTTATAATTTTACGATATTTTTGATGTAATGCAGAAAGATATGCATGAAAAGAATTATTTTGTTATTCAGTCGTTTTATTTTTGGATTAATTTTTTTGTGCCTGGGTGACAATATTAATTAATTTCTGTATTCCAACCTTGTACCCATTAAGCCTTTGAGAGGAGTTGATGCTTTTATATTTTTCTTTGGGATGCGATTTTGATATTGCCGACTCAGAGGTTGCATTTTGTGTTGTTCACATGCGAAGTCACCTGCGATGGGCCGCACCTTATTCTAGACACTTTGTCTTCACAAGGGTAACCATCAAGACTCACCGACTGAGAGAATTTGCACTCTGTCTTTATTTTGAAGCTTGCACATTTGAGGCAGAGGGAGTTGAAAGCTTAATTTATAGTTGTTAAACCACTTGAAGTACAACGATACACTAAGAGGGGTCAATTAGTATTTTAAAATTTTTTTTTTTTTTCAAAAAGTTCCCTTTTAAAACACTTAAAACCAAATTCATAACTTAAATTTTAAAATAGATTTTTCAAATATGAGGCAATAATAAAACAATTTTTTTGTTTTTGATTTTATAGAAAAATAAATATTTTTGTTCTTCTAATTTTCATATTTTGCTTTTTTTATTTTTGAGCAAAAACTAAATTCAAAACACTCTCGATATTTCTGTATCACAAAGATGTCAATTCTCAACTTAGATTTGCAAGAAATAAATGCGCGAGAAAATAAAGTGCTGAAAGAAATAATAACAAACACACTATAAATTTATAATGGTTCGTCAACCTTGGCCTACGCCCACTCCTAGGAGTCCTCCTTTCCGGCTATTTCACTAAACTCTTTAGTGTGTCTCCTTTGTTGCAAATTCAGGTCCATGAACTATGTTTTGATGTTTGGCAAACACTCTTACTTATCTTGGACTGCCTTTTACTACTGACTTTTCCGGAATTAAAGATCGGACGAAAAAAACGGAGCCAGCTTAAGAATGGGTAGATTAGGGTTGAGTCAGTCTGTAATTTTATTTTTTTTTCTTCTTGAGTCAATTGTAATCTTTAGTGTGACTGATGCAAAGTAACCCCACACACACACACTTGAGAGACTTAGAATTTCTGTTTTTTGCTCATATCGACCAGGGTGATATTTACATCGTCCTGAACGATCTAGCTTAAAACAGAGAATCTAATCAGAGATTCTTAATTAAGGTAGCCTTCATTAGCCAATCGGCCTGGACGATACTTGTATCGGATAGAACGAAAGGCTCAAAACAGAAAGAAATTGTCGCCATAAACAATTAAGGTATTCTGTATTTTTGGTAATCGGTCATGACGATCTTGTATCGGCCTGGTCGATATTCACAATTATGCCTTAATTGATAAGACAATCAAAGAGGTAATTAAGGATGATTGATACAATCATATCGTCCTGAACGATAGTAAGATCGGCCAGGACGATTGATTCTAAAATCCTTAGTCACTCTTGGACGATAAATATCGGCCAGCACAAATTCAGGGCGATGTGCTGGACGATCTGGATCTGACAGCTTGAATTCAGGGCAAAGCACTAGACGGTTTTCCTCTGATTTGAACTGATCGTCCAGGACGATCGTGAGATCGTCCTAGACGATCAAGCTAATTTTTAATCGTCCAGTTGGCATTCAGGGCGATGCTCTGGCCGATCTTCTAAGATTTGTACTGATCGGCCAGGACGATATAGTCGGCAACTTGCAATTAATGAGCTTTTTGAGCTCTTCATTATAAGAGCTCTTGTTCAACATTTTTGAACATCCTTGGCTGCTGTCTTGACCTGAGAAATCCTAAAGGAGAGAGAGAGAGGGAGAGAGAGAGGATCTTATAAGGGGGAGCTTGTGAGGGGATTCACAATGGTTGCTCCAAGTATTGTTCCACTTCTTCTTCCCTAGAGTCTCTTGTCATTGGAAGGGTTGGGAGAGATAAGTTTCAGCAAGTGATCGTGGTTCTCTGCCTGCTTCAGGAGAAAGCAAAAGGAGTTGGGTTCTCTGCCTTGTCGGGTGTGGCAAAAAGGAGGTGTTTTTATGAGGGCTTCTCCGCCTAGCCGTTGGGGCTAAAGGAGAGTCACGTTTGTAGTGAAATACTCGAAGGGCGCCTCTGGGGAGTGGACGTAGGTCGAGTTGACCGAACCACTATAAATCCTTGTGTTCTTATTTTTACTGCTTCCGCATTTATTTTCTTCCGCACTTATTTTTGTGGTGGCTTGGTTTGTGATAATCGTTCTTTTTGCTTAAAGAAATTTTTAAATATCAATTCCCCCCCCCCCCTCTTGGTTAGCCTCGTGCCAGTTCTATAGGGCTTAACATCCCTAACAAACTTTCATGTGGTATCAGAGCGGGATTCATAAAAACTAAGTTTGAAAACTTTTTGAATTTTGATCCATGACTAACTTTGGGAATTGTAATACACCGAAAGGGTATTCTATTACCTGATCACCTTTGTTTGATAATATCCCATATAATTTTTGGAAAACTTGCATGTCTACATTTTTACAATCTACTGATTATCGCATGTGGATACTTGTTAAGGATGGCTACACACCTTCGACTGGTAAACTTAACGGCATTATTGTACCACTTCCTTTTACTGAATGGACTTTAGATGATAGAGATTTGGCTCAATTAAATGCAAAATATTTTAATTATTTTTTCTGTGTTTTAAAATCAGAAGACTACATGCGTGTTTCCACTTGCAAAACTGGTAAAGAAATTTGGGATAAATTATGTATCACTTATGAAGGCACTAATGAAGTTAAACAATCTCGTTTGAATATTCTCTTGTATGACTACGAACTTTTCCGTATGAAATCTCATAAATCAATTTCTGAAATGTATACAAGATTTACTCAGATTGTTACTTCTTTGCATGCCTTAGGAAGAGAACTTTCAAACTATAAAGAAGTGAACAAGATTTTAAGATGCTTGCCTTCGTCTTTTGATGCTAAAATACTGCTATAACTAAATCTAAGGATTTGAACACATATTCGATTGACAACTTACTTGGCTCACTCATTGCTTACGAGTAAGGGGTGAATCAAAGAAATCTTGATGCATGTGAGAAAAAAGAAAGAGAAAATGGTGGCACTGAAGGCACACAAATTTGACTATGATTTTTTTGGGTCTGAGAGTGATGACATTTCCTTAATCACAAGGCAATTCAAAAGCTTTATAATGAAGAATCAAAAGCATCATTGGAGAAGAGGTAAGGATAATAAATATTCAAATGGATCTTCTGATGTTGTCTGTTATGAATGCAAGAAACCCGGATATGTGAAAGCTGATTGTCCTACACTTCAAGATCACTTAAGCAAAGGAAAGGGTGAGGAGAAACCCAAGTTCAAGAAGGATAAGAAGAGACTTCAAAAAGTATTTTGGGCTGATTCTGCATCGGATTCATCAGAGATGGAACCAAAAGATGAGACAACAAAATTGTGCTTGATGGCAGATGATAATCTTGATCAAGAAGAGGTATGTGAACTTTCCTACGATCAACTTCTTGAAGTTTCTGAAAAAAATTCATGCATCATATAAGAAACTCAAGAAACCTCATGCAAGCTTAAAATTGGAATTTTTGGAGTTACAAAAAGAGCATGCAATTATGATTAAAGACCATTCTATAATTGATTCAAATCTTATGGCTCTACTTGATGAATTTTATGAGTTAAACAAAAAAAATATTGTGAATTAATTGAAGAGCATGAGTCACTAAAAGTCACACACACCTCACTTGATTCTGATTTTAAGAAGTCTAAAGAGATGGAGAAAAACTTGAGGATTGAGAATGAAGTCTTAAAAAGTACAAATTTGAAGATTCAAAATGAATTAGGTACATGTAAAAAAAACTAGGATGACATCTACTTTGATCAAAAGTCAAAACCTAGGAAGAGGCATTATAACTCAAACCACTTAAGAAACCCTTTTCCTGGAGTTAGATATTTTTCCTGTGGCATGCTAGGACACATCTCACACACTTGCATAGTTCACCATAGTACACATTGGGTATGGAGACCTAAGTTGCATAATCCATAGCATACTACATATGCATTGCTTTCTATTTTT